GCTTCCCGGGTAGGTAGGTAGGTAGGTAGGTAGGTAAAGGAGGTTGTTTCTTTCAGGTTCCTCCCATTTATGCTGGCTGATTGTTGTCTGTTGTTGTTGCTGCTGTTGATGTTGTCCAGGAATCTTCATCACCACATCTGTCTTCTTTATGTTCACCTGAAGTCCTATCTTCTCTGGATGCTTCTTCTTCCAACTTGTTGCTTTTCACTTGCATATATTCCAGTTTGTGGGAAATCAGACATATATCATCATTGGTGAAGTCTAGATCCTCCAAGTGTTTTTGTGTGAGTCCATTTTATGCCTGTTTCCTCATTGCTCACTGTTTGTCGCATTATCCAATCTACTGCAGTCAGGAAAATCATTGGTGATAGTAGGCAGCCAGCTTGTCTTACTCCCGTCTTCACTTCTTCGAAGGATTCTGTGAGTTTCCCGTTGTGGATTACTTGGCATGCAGCATTGTCGTACAACTGTTGGGTGAGATGTATAATTGTCGACGGCAAAACAAATACAAAAATATATGTATGTGGAGAGGAATTCAGTCTACACAAATTAATATGCATATACATAAATTAATATAGTTACTTACTTGGTGAGTTATAATTGTCCCAAAATACACAAGTAAGGACGTACAGAATTGTAGGGATGAAGTAGTCCTTATTTCTGGGCGTACATTTGCTCGCTGCACGTAAGAGTATGCCAACAGCTCGAAAGTAGACGTTACTTTAAAAACTTCATGCAATTCTTCCCATTAAATAAACTTGAACAAAGCAAGAACAACAATTCTCTACGGGGATAATATGAGCTCATCTTTTATTATTATTATTTCGAGGATTCTTCTCAACTGGTTACAACCTGAACGATAAAAAAAGCATGAATTACATTAAAGATTTTGAACATACTTTTTCAAGATCACAAGAAGTAATTGGTAGGAAGTAAAAGTAACATTAGTCCGGAATGATTCAACTAATTAAGAGTTACAAACACTGACTATTTTTAGAATAATTAGACGATTAGGCTTGGAAACAAAATCACATTTGCGTATATATATATAGAAACAGCATAACAAAAAGTAGATTACGTAACTAAAGAAAACGTCTTATCTAATTGCCAATAGAAAAAAGGAAAGAAAAGAAACAAGGTAGGGTGAGTCATGTTTAGACGAGAGAGAGAGAGAGTATAGTTTTCTAAACATGAAAAGGGTGTATCATAAAAGTTGTATTTTTTGTTATCACCAAGGCAGTGCAAAATTCACCACTCTCTTTCTGTGTACATAGATTTGGCTTAAGTCGTTTGATAGCAGTTACTTCAGCAAGGCGTAGCAAGCTAGGTTTCTTTTACTAGTTGATTATTTTGAACGACTTCAGGTTGACTTCTACAATATGACCAGTGTAAAATAGATGACGAGCAATCGCGCTGTTTAATGCTTGTGGACTTTTCAGTCTCAGATTCTTTGGTATGTGTTCAGAAATGCGGACACTAACCCTCCTGTCTGTCCTTCCAATGAATGTGCTTTGGCACTCTACATGTAAATTGATAGACACAGTTGGAGGGGTAACATGAGGTGGGTATTTGTCCACTTTTGATTGTCTCAAACAACTAGTTGTTTGATAAACACAGACAAGCTTGGCGGCTAGATATGTTCTTTTCTTTCAGGGCAGATGAGCTCATATTGTCCTGGTACAATTGTTGTTCTTGCTTTGTTCAACCTCGAAGGTAATTGCGGAGAGAAAAGGAGATTGAAGCAAAAGATCTGAATGTAAATGTACGGATCAGCTCCGATCCACAGATGATTGGTAATAGTGGAAAGCAAAATGCTGGAAAGAAAGAAGTTTTGTCGTCCGTACTGAACGCTGAACCAGGTCGTGTCCGTATTCAATCTCAATAAACAATCATGATGTACAGTGAACTCATTATTTTTACTATTTTACAATGATGGACGTATAGTTTGATATTTTTTTCGACCTCTTAACATCTGTCAAAGTGGGAGCCTCCTTCGAATCTGAATCCAAGAACACAAATTCGTTGTAAAAAGACATGATTTATATATTGTTTCATATCAATGCATGTAGACAATTATGGACACCAATTCGATGATTGGGAGAATGTAGACATTTAAAACAGATGAAACACTAAAACTGCAGTCAGGGAATTTCTAGAATCGCGGTACTCACATGAATCAGTGAGCGATTGACAAACACACATTAATTACAATACATCAAATTTGTCAACCAATAAGAAGTAAGTCATCACGTGATAAGAAAGTTCAAATTCCAAGTCAATCCGAATGATGATCAATGTAAATTTACAACAACCAGTCACGACAGTGGTTGTCAGGATACACACAACTGTATCTCTTATTCACGGAGAATTCCAATATGTTCACTACACATTAAAGCCTGAACTGACTATGTTGTCTAGAATGACAGACAACGTAAGCTTCACGATTAAATCAACCAGTTCTGAGACACACAACTTAATCAAAAAGATTACTCAGCCTCCAACATTGATATATTTTCATTTTGACAATAGATTTCTCTCTGATAAGGAACTTCATAACTTATCAGGTGGAAAACTTGCAGGCAAATGGGTGTACTTTTAGTTCACTTTTAGATATTCCCATCTATTGATTGGACCGAAGTGCTCACTCTCAGGTTAACATGTCGGCTTCTTCTGCAGATGCCTCGACGATGTCTGGGCATGCAATTAGAAGTGAATTTGTGCATGGTGGTTAGCAGTCGAAACCAGGACGTGGATTTCGTCCTGTTTAAGGCTCGTCAGGTGGATGTACCTGCATTCCGCAATGAGTTATGATGTTCCCACCGAGGCTCGAATTAATATGACCCGTTGCGCAAGAGGCGGTGGCGCTCGTGATCCAAAGGGGTCTAGCGGATAACGCTTTGGCGTTTGAAACTATGGGCACTGGGTTTGAGCCGTGGTGGTGGGAACATCATCACTCACTGGGAAATGCAGGTACATCCAACTGGTGGACGAATCTCAAAAAGGACGAAATGCGCATTATCGTGGATAGCACTACCAGCCACCATCGACCAATGAGCTCCAAGTGAGTCTACTATTCACAGTTCAATGCGTTGTATGACTCAATTTTTAAGTGTCCTGTAGTATAGCACAACCATCATTTAATATTTTCAGGAAGTAATTGTTCTCTATCTCCAATGAAGTCTTAAGTACATACCTATATAGGAGTCTCAAGCAATAAAATAAACCGCTATATAGTATCCATTCAGCTTTTCAATAATTCATGAACAATCCCTATTCAATCATTAATAGACAGAAGACCAGTAGTTCAGCGAAGAGTCTCTTTTCAGCAGTGAATTCATTTTCATAGCTGTACAACCGCAAATATATATGGTTGTTTTGTGTGTGTGTGTGTGTGTATATATATTAAATTTGTCAAACTAAAGTGCAATTAATAAGTTCAGATGAATTGGAAGTTGTTGATATAAGAGGGTAGTAAAAAAAGTGATGAGTTGTCACAAACGATTGTTAAAGAAGAGTTACGTAAGAACAACATGAATAATTTGATGAGAGAGTTGTGCTCAGGGTGTACATGGAAACAAAATAACATACGGAACTAGGTAAGAGTTTTAAGTAGTTAGAAAAATAAGCACACAAGCAAAAGTTAAGTCAAATCAACGGCGTTATTATCATGAGAGTAGAAGTGGTTGACTAATTTTCTTTTGTATGCATAGTTCTTGTTCTTCTGACGGAATGGCTAGGGCTTCTGCAATACAAAGAAGACAGAAACGTATTATCTTTACCAGGTTGTTCTTCACTTTGTAGACTACTTTGAAGGAGGAGGCGTTTGTTGAGATGGAATGATCAGTGTTGACGAGATGTTTGATTATTGCACGCCTTATACGGCCACTACTTTGTTTCTGCAGACACGCTGTGGGAGTGTATTCTTTGACTCTTTTTGACAGGATGCGCGTTGAACAACCGATGTACTTGGCTCCACAGCAACAGATGAACTGATATATGCACATAGAAGTGGTTAGATGTGGGATCTTGTCTTTGTACACCCTGAGCACAACTCTTTCATCAAACTATTCATGTTATTCTTACGTAACTCTTCTTTAACAATCGTTTGTGAAAACTCATTACTTTTGTTACTACCCTCTTATATCAACAACATCCAACTCATCTGAACTTACTAATTGTAGTTTTGTTTGGCAAATTTAATGTACACACACACACACATACAAAACAACCATATATATTTACCAATAATTATTGCAATAGTCAGCGTCCATTTATGCTGAAACCTTCTTCTTTAACATCTTTACAATTAGCAGCAGTCTTTTTATGTAATTCTCATTCATAACTGTCTGAAAACTTTATTTCTTATTTTCAAGTATTGATTATGTAAGGATTTTGTTTAATTGGTTGGATGATTTCATCATAAACTGCTGACATCAGTTACAGAGCCGTTGGAGTACTGGACAGCTGTTTCATTAGCTTAGTCTGGGACTCTTCAGCAGTACGCACCCACCGCCAGGGTTCGAACCTAGGACCTTCTGGTTACAAGGCCGGCAAGCGAGCTCGTAGACCATTGAGCCACTGACACCCGATCCAATTGTCAGTCCATAAATTCTAACTACTGCCAATTCACGACATAGTGTGACCATTTCACAATGAGTAACTGCCTCATCTTCAACCTGATGTACCGTGCATTAGCAGAAGTTAGACAATTGGATCGGGTCCCAGTGAGTGGCTGCCTAATGGTCTATGAGCTCGCTCTTTGGCGTTGTAACCAGAAGGTCGTGGGTTCAAACCCTGGCAGTTGGTGCGTACTGATGAAGAGTCCCAAAACAAGTCTGATGAAACATCTGTCCCAGTACTCCAGCGGTTCTGTAACTGATGTCAGCATCTCATGGTGAAATCCTTCATTCAATTAGTTTCTTATTCTTTATCTCATTCAAATTACAATATGTTCGAATTAATCATTTCCATCCAATTTGTTTTTCTAAAACAAAATTTAGATTTTTATCTGGTATTAATGTGATGGCGTTACCTGCAATTCCAAGTGCAAGTATTATAACCGTCATCCTTATAACACGTGCATTTAATCTTTCTGAATCGGCGATATCACTTCTCTTCGTTGTCGAATTTATTGCGTAAGTCTTCAGATTTATTTATTTTATTTCTCAGTTTTATTTGTATTTTACGAGTTTGACTACGGATTGATTGATATCAGTTAGAGAACCATTGAAAGCCGTGGAGAAGTAGACGGACAGTTGTTTCATCCTAGTTTGGGAATCATCGGCAGTACACACACAGCACCAGGGTTCGAACCCAGAGCCTTCCGGTTACAAGGCAAGCTCGTATACCATTCAGCCACCACTCAGACCCAACTCCTCAATGGCCAGAACATGGATTCTAACTTCTACCAATTCGTGATGAGTTTAGTGCGACCACCAACCAATGTCGTCGGTGGAAAATCCATCCTCACATTTGACTGGTTGGAAGGTCCTAGGTTGGAACCCTGGCATTAGGTGCGTAGTGCCGATGATTCCCAAACTAGGGTGAAGCAGATGTCAAGTACTTCCTGGAGGTTTTTCAATGGTTCTCTAGCTGATATCAGTCCGTGGTGAAACTCGTAAAAACGTAACTAATTCTTAAAAACCAACTCGTGAAGATATATACTATTTCAAGTCAAAATTGCCGCATTTTCGTTTCAATACACATGTATAGGTATAACGAAGACAGTCATTTAAGACTTGAATTTCCTCAGGTAGTTAGCTGATTTGATATCACAGGCCTACAGGAATGCTGTAATCAGCATATGAGACATGACATTTGTCTGTTTTGAAGATCTTCTTTCAACCTTCTCACACGGCTAAAATATCTGTGGTGGCAGGTGTCTGCTAGCCAAAATTATCGACGCCAATTTACATCAATCTTTACGTCCCGAATCGGGGTCACGAGAGAAAACAAGAACAAAGACTAACCTTGAGGAACTCAACAACCAATCACAGATGACTTAGCGTGGGCGGACACGATTCGCAGATATATATATATATATATATATGTATCAACGGACTGTCTAAGAAACAGCAACAAAGTTATGACGGAATAACCTTCAGCAGGAAAACAACCAATCAGAAGACGTTGCTTCTCTGCTAATAATAATGTAGATAAAAATCTCTAAATAGGTCTTGATTTTCTCAATAAATGATCTGGCACCTGATCCTTGTCTTCTGTCGTTACATATCTATTGTGATGTTTTCTGTACTGTGCGCGAAAACAGCCCGTGTATGTCCATGTCAAGCCCTCTATCCAACTTATTCTACCTCTTAATTTCGATAGCCGGTGAAAAATGAAGGGACGGGGCTAATGCAGTGGATTTGTTCAAATAAACAAATGAAACACGTGCAAAAAATCTAGTTTCTTTCACGCGCACAGTCCAGGGTTCGACTTCCGGCCGGTGGAAACCTTTACCAACGTGCACACGCCCCACCCCCCTAGTAGGTTGTAAGCCATAAAAAAAAGGAAATTTTTGCGTTAGGCTAGCAAACTCCCGCACACACACACATTCAGAAGAAAACAAAACCGCCTTTACTGGAACTTCACCGCTCAAACTTGAAGTCCTGTATTCCACCTAGAACACAAAATAATAAAATAAATTTTATATGTAATTATAAAATCCCAACTGTTTCTAACATAAATTAATACATTCTACACCATATTTCTTATCATCATAAAATTCCTTTTCAACAAAATTTATCGGCATTTAAAAAATTGATAGAATGATGCATATAAGTAGTAGATTTTGAATGGATCAATATCTCTTTAACAACAGCTGTTTACATTAAAATTGAACATTGAATACTAATTTGGTTTGATTGTCACATTGAAGTTCGTAAGGCGCTTTTATTCTTTTCTATTCTATTCTATTCTACTCCTTCTTTTTTCTTTATTCATTTATTAGATACCCAATATATGTCTAAAACATGCGATTATTTATAAAGCGATGCTACTTAAAACTATCTGACTGTTAAAATACTTTTCATATAGCTAAAATATTCATTCTGACATGTATAAAAGACATTATATAAAGAATATCCTTCTTTCGATAATTTCCTCCTCTTCTGGCTCTACAATTACACATATATATGTTTATATACATAGAATATTCTAGGATAGTAGTCAATAACAATATTAGATACTTATCAGATACTTTGATTATTTGTGATGAGAAATGTGATTTCAAAAACCTACTTCAAGTCTTCAATAATGCCCACCTAAACATCGACTTTACACTTGAAACTGAATCCGATGGAATGTTCCACTTCCTCGACGTCCATCGGACAAGAAACGCCGACAACTCTCTGAAAAGGTCCATATACAAAAAGCCTACATGGAATGGACAATTCATCAACTTTCAAAGTTTCGTGCCCCTAAGCAGAAATAGGAACCTGATAAACGCTCTTTCCTCGAGGATTCGGAAGATATGCAGCGAGGAATTGATCGACGAAGAACTGACTATTATCCGAAGAACCCTGATGGAAAACGGTTTTCCGCCCAGGTTCATAGACAAGAATCTAAAAAACCTAAGAAGACTTCCGAACAAGTCCAATCCGTTCCAAAGAAAATACTTCTGCTTAATCTGGAATTCAAAGGTGATATTGAAGCAGAAATCCTTCGTAAACGCCTCTTAAAATCGCTAGGGAAAACATACTTCGCCGCAAGCCTACGACTGACGTTTTCCTGCAAGAAACTGTTCAGCCCAAACGTGAAAGACAAGCTGTCGCATTGGGCCACTTCAACGTGCATATACCAGTTTACTTGCTCTTGTGGAGCTGAGTAGGTTTGCCGTACCATACGCCGACTTGGAAAACGCACTCGTGAACACTACCCAGTCTGGTTAGTAAAAGGAGACCAAAAGCGTGTATACAGTTCAGTGACAGAACATCTGGTCAATTCAGGACACTCAGCACCTTTCGAAAAATCCTTCAAAAAAATATACAAGATCCAATCAAACCTATCAAAGGGAGTGAAATCAAGACATCTGGGGATAGCCGAAGCGCTAGCTATACAAAAGCTCAAACCCACCCTTTGTATCTAAAAGAAATACGTCTAACCCCTGTCCCTGCCATGGCCATCATAAAGAGGTAATTTTTTTTGGTAATGACCATCCCATCGCCTTTCTTACCTAAACTTCCTGTTTATTCATGTTATTTTTAAGTTTTTCTTAATCCCTATTTACACTACCATATTTTCATACCCGAACTTCGTGTTTATTTTGTCATTTTACTATTTCTACATTTCTAACCCCTAATTGCACAATGTCAATCTTCTTAGTCATTATGATGCTACTTTGTTTGTTTTATCCATCCCCCTGTGGTTTATTATGGCATTATAATTCCTAATTTTAATTTTTATTAATTTGAACCGGAACCGGAACTTATTCTGGGACTTTCACATCGGTGGTACAGTGGTTAGAACTCTCGCCGACCATGCACATGGTCCGGGGTTCGAGCCCACGCCGGCGCACACCTGATATCTATGGTCGGCCTGCAAAATTTGGGCTACCGATATCCATGCTGAAAATTCCATACTTGTACCAAAAATACAGTGTGGAATCAAGCTGTAAATCAAAAAAAAAAAAAATACACGAATGTACAGCCTAGTTGACGGTGACTTCATCGAAAAGAAAATTTTCTTCGCTGCAGTTGTCTTCTTATTAACAATATTAATGTTTTTTAAATAATATCGATTTGTAAAGTAAGATCACAATGGAATTACAGTTCATTAAAGATGCTTAAATTATAAAAATAATAAAAATATAGTAGCAAATAAGATATCAAATAAAATTAAGGAAATCTCTACAACAACAATTGGAGGATCATTAAAGCCTTAATGACCAAGTGCGTAAGGAAGACAATATCTGAACCAACCAGCTTCTTTTGAACACATAACTTTACTTTCTTAATATGGATCCCAACAGCCAGTCTCACCAATATGTAGTAGACGAATTCTTAAGGTGAAGTTAAGATTTGTTGGTATGTGGTAAATGACTTTGAAAGCTGCCTCGTTGACATCAATCCTGTCATGTGTTCTGTATCTATAAGATGAGAGAGAATAGCGCTCCGAATAGATTTTGTTTGTCCTTTACCTAACCAACAACGCAGTGGGTGATGTTCGGAAATCCGACAAGAAACACGCCTAACTGTTTGGCCTATGCAATTAAATGGCTGCACAGGAGCAGTCAAATTGGTAGATACGCACACACACACACAAACACATGGAAGAGGCGAAATTAGGCAGTTCATCTTTTACCCCTGAACGCAAATTAGGGATGGTTTTGAAGACACAGCATAATTCAGCAGCAATGAATGCTCTTTTTACCGCATTTCTAAACCGTTGCTTTAGTACCTCGCTGATGTTGTCCCCGAGGAACTGAATTTGTAATAATAAGGTCTTTTTTGGTACTGTTGGTGCCTTGGTCTGCTTTAATTTTAGATTCATATTCTTATCAATAAACTTTCCTGGAAAACCATTTTCACTTAGCAACCTTTTAATATCATTAAGTTCCTCATCAAGACATTCATCCGATCAGATTGCTCGTGCTCTGTGAACCCAGCACTTTATCAGATTGCGTTTGTACTTCAAGGACACGAAGCTAAAAATATGAGTATGCTGACAGTCACTTGATGTAGGTTTTCTATATACACTTCTTCTTATTCTACCGTCCTCTTCTCTAGTCATAACGACGTCTAGAAATGAAATACTAGATGGAGTCTCTTTCTTTCTCAATATTAAAATTTATTGCAGGATGAACATTGTTAAATTTGTCAACAAAGGTGTTCTTTGCTTCATCCTCGTTTTTCATAATCAAAATGTATCATCCATGTACACCGACAATAGAATTCTAGTTCATCAATAACATCTTTCAAAGACCAATTCTTTAGTTTTGCAAGGAAAATGTCGTCTAAAATGAGTCGTAATGAGTGGTAACCCCATTGCCACACCATCAATTTGTCTGTATAGTTCGTTATTAAATAAAAAGTGGACATTCATTGTACATTTCAAGAGAAGCTCTTTCATAAAAGATATAGGAATTCTAGAAAGTCTCATCTTCTCTGGATCCGATTGAAAAGACAATTAGCGGAAACACTGATAAGACTACAACAAGAAGGCTTTATCTCACAAAGTGAGTATACATCAGTGAAACCCGCTGGAACCCACTGGTTCGCCAAAATACACAAAAACAATTAACCACTTTGAGCAGTATTAGATATGATAAATTCACCATGCCATCCCGTAGCCAAATGTTGAGTCACACTTACAGTCTCTATATACATGAACTGGCTAAACACAGTGTAAAAGATACCTTTGGATTTGTTGAAAGGATAAAAGATTTAAATGTTAACAATAAATTTATGATATCATTTGAAGTATCTTCCATATTCACCAATGTACCATTTATGGAAACAGTACAGTTAGTATGCGAAGAACTCGTAAGACGAAACATCATTGTTGGCGATCCTATATCTTTTATGAAAGAGCTTCTCTTTCATAACGTCCACTTTTTTATTTAATAACGAACTATACAGACAAATTGATAGAGTGGCAATGGGTTATCACTACAACCCATTCTAGACGACATTTTCCTTGCAAAACTAAAGAATTGGTCTTTGAAAGATGTTACTGATGAACTAGAATTCTATTGTCGTTACATGGATGATACATTTTTGATTATGAAAAACGAGGATGAAGCAAAGAACACCTTTGTTGACAAATTTAACAATGTTCATCCTGCAATAAATTTTAATATTGAGAAAGAAAGAGACTCCATCTAGTATTTCATTTCTAGACGTCGTTATGACTAGAGAAGAGGACGGTAGAATAAGAAGAAGTGTATATAGAAGACCTACATTAACTGACTGTCAGTATACTCATATTTTTAGCTTCGTATCCTTGAAATACAAATGCAACCTAACAGACTATTCTGTCGACAGAGCACGAGCAATCTGCTCGGATGAATGCCTTAATGAAGAGCCTAATATTATTAAACATTTTCTGAGTGAGAACGGTTATCCAGAAAAGTTTACTGATAATATATACATTTGAAAACAAATTATTTCATACTCTTCAGAAATGAATATGTTCTTCATGTCTATGTAGTATTTGAATGAATTATTAAATATTATAATAAAGGTTTTATTTTGTAATTCCCAATGAATGAAAAACAATGGACGATATTGTCGTTGTTTTTACTGACGTTTCGCTATTTAATGTTGCTGATGATAGCTTTATCAAAGTAGTATTATTAAACTAGAATTTACAAAATCCACTCAGCTTATATATAACAACTTAATCTTCGTTCCTCAGCATGGGGTCATTTTCGCGTTGTTGTCAAGTTGGCCAATTGGTAAAGATAACAAAACCAGGTGTAGATTGTTCGTTTCGATAAATGTGTAAAACCGTAAAAGCAGCGTGTGTTTATATAATGAAATCTCTTATCACATATGTGTTAATTTTGTCATTTCATGGGAGACAGTATGGGGTGTTGTAACCAGGTCAAATTTTGTTTTAGTCCATCATTCAGACTATTCAGACAATTTGGGTTCCATTTGATATGAAGTGCTTCTGATGATATGAGACGTTCTTTTTGTGATTTCTGAAATGCTTTTTCTGGATGATGATTTCAATATTGTCAAAATTAATTTTGTGGCCTGATTCCATAGCATGTAGACCACAACCTATGGTTGATGATTTTTCAAGGTTTTCTAGTTCACTAACTGGATTTATTTCTCGGTGGTCGAACTGATGCGGCTCTACGGTGTTCACTTCTTCTGATTTTGATTTCTCGAGATGTTTGCCCAGTATATATATTGCATCACATTCCAAGCAAGCATTTTATTTCATAGACACAATTATATTGTGAATCTTTAGGAATCCGGTCTTTTACATAGATAAAGTTGCTTTATAGTCTGTCTGATGTTTTGAAAGAAGCTTTGATGTCGAGCTTATTGAGTACTCTTCTGGTATTGTCTGACGTCTCTTCTCTAAATGAAATGACAACTGTTGAGATCCATTTCTTCGGAACACGTTTTTGACCATACCTAATATCGGTGTTGATTTTGTTGATGAAGTTCTTTAGATGGTTATTTTTCTTGAGAGTTTCAGTAATTGTTTGACATTTCTTCTTTTAATTTTACACACTTATCAAATCCAACAATTGGCCAATTTGACAATGCAAAAATGACCCCATGCTGAGGAACGATGATTAAGTTGTTGTGTGATATAAGCTAAGTGGATTTTGTAAATTCTGGTTTAATAATACTACTACTTTGATAAAGCTATTAGCAGCAGTAGCATTAAATAGCGAAACGTCAGTGAAACACAACGACAATATCGTTTTGCTCTTTTTCATTCATTGGGTAATACAAAAAAGACCTTTATCATATTAATGAATATCATATACCCAATGCCCCAACTTTCTCCCAAACCGTTAGAAGTGAACTTGGTTTGGAAATATATATATATGAATTATTAACCAATCTTTCCCAATAATTTTTATATGATCCTATTGCTTCTCTTTTCTTCCCTTGACAGTGACCGATTGCGCACTGTTGTCAATGTTATGAGTCATGCAACTTGTGTTCTATTTATTCACTTGAAATTAAAACAAAACGATGCCACGCTGAATTTGATCAATTCATCAAGAAATCAAGCGGATTCATTAAATCAAAATGACACAAGTATAGATAATTCAGAATCGAATAATGTTATCAGTCATAATATTTATGTAAGTTGACGGTAGAGATTTTCGCGCCTGCCCTGCCCGTGTTCTCTTCTGTTCTGTTCTATTCTATTCTGCTGTGTCCTTCAATCATTTACACACACATAACAATATACTGATTTTTCATGTTCTTGAAACTTACTACTTATTTCGTTGTTTTTTAATGTGATTTGAGTAGTGTCATGAATTATTACTCAATAATTATTGTATATCACAGAGAGAGACTTTTGTCTTCGATAATTCCTCTTCTCTCTTATACATTTATATACATAATTTTATATTATTTCTTCTTTCTTTTTTTACTCAAAATTTGATAAATTCTATGACGACTGTCGGTCTATAGAGACGGTCAAGTGTGATATGTACAACTCACTCACCTGTTCTCCAGAATCTGTCTGCCTCTCTCTCTCTCTCGTTCTTTCAGTTTCATTTTCAGTTGTTCAACTCTGTAAATTGTTTGTGATACATATTTGTGATAAACACTGACAGTTTTATTAGTGTGCCGTCACTCACACACACACACACGCCCGCACATACACTGACGCCCAGACCATCTTCATTTGTACATGTCAGCACTCATCTCTCTACATCACATCGAATCAATTTTAATGATATTTAAAAAAAAAAAGTAGAATAAAAGAGAAAATTGATTGAATTTGTATTCCTTTTCATATATATGCCCATACCAAGTTCACTTTTAACAGTTTGGGAAAAAATTTGGGCATTGGGTATGTAATATTCATTATAATAAAGAATCTTTTTGTATTTCCCAATGAATGAAAAACAAAATGATATTGTTTTTACTGACATTTCGCTATTTAGTGGTTATATATATATTACATTCAACCTCTGCATTTCAGACTTAATTAAGAAGTTAGTTCTTTTTATACCACTTTTATCTTTCATTTTATATAGTTTTTCCTTCTCTCTACGAAGCTTTTTAAGTTGAGGCGAGGAGAAACGGTCAAATTTGACGAATAGTGTTTCTTTTGGACAGCAAATTTCAAAAAAGAATTTCAGATAGGATGTAATATTGGAGAAATTGTCATCAAGTGAACCATCATTAAACAGATCCCATCTTGTGTCACTGAGCATGTTTCTAAGATGATGTACGTTCTCATTTGAGTAACATCTGTGAACAACTTTCTTAGACAAGTTTGAGAAGGCTTTACTATGTAACTTTCCGTAAATTTTGGGTAAGACTCGTACAATGCAGTGATCAAAACTGAAGAGCGGAGCTCTTTTACGAGCTTCGTATATTCCAGAATCATTTATAAATACTAAATCAAGTGAAGTATTTTGTCGAGTTGGGAAATTAACAACATTTTTATGGTCCAGCAATGTAATAAAACTGCAGTGTCGCTGGAGTTGAAGTCGCCAGTCACTAAAGATAAGGAGTTACCAAACGAAGCAGCAGCAAAAATAGTGAATTCATCAGCGAAGACCGATAGTTTTGAGGGACTGCAACAAGGTGTGATATAGATATTTGTGACAAAAATGAAGCTATCCTTAGGTAAGTGTTTAGGTCGACATTTTACAGTTATACAGTCAATATTGTCCTTCGAGAATTTGAAGCGGACGTTGTTGGCAGTAGACCACTGAGAATTGATAAAAGTGGCAACACCACCACCTCTCTTCTTCTTTGGGCTGCATCGGTCCTGTCTGTACATTGTGAAACTTAAGGAAACTAAATTATCGTCATATGAGTCGTGGAGCCAAGTTTCTTGAAAAGTGATTACACCAGTATTACAATACACATTTGAGTATAATAGAGAATGCAAGTAGTTAATCTTGTTCGATAATGACCTGCAATTTGTGCTCATAATCACAGGAACAGTCATCTGATGCATTGGAGTACACTTTAATGATCTCTGCCACCCACCATGATGCTTTTTCTTAAGGTTATTATATACTCGTAAATCATCAGGTTGAAAACATTTTAAATAATCGCGAGAGTAAGTAATGAGATTTGGACACAACTGAATGATTAAAATAAAATAAATCCGAGGAGATAGATGCAATATGTAGGATGGAAATTTTGGCAGCCCAAAATTTAAGCAGGCCGCCGATAATGAGATGGTTGGATTTGATCAGTGTGTAAAATTATAAAAGTAATGTGTGTTTACATAGTGAACTTGCTTATCACATTTGTGTTAATTTTGTCACTTCAGAAGAGGATGAGGTGTTGTAACCAGGTCAAATTTTGTTTTAGTCCATCATTCAGACTATTCAGACAATTTGGATTCCATTTGATATGAAGTGCTTCTGATGATATGAGACGTTCTTTTTGTGATTTCTGAAATGCTTTTTCTGGATGATGATTTCAATATTGTCAAAATTAATTTTGTGGCCTGATTCCATAGCATGTAGACCACAACCTATGGTTGATGATTTTTCAAGGTTTTCTAGTTCACTAACTGGATTTATTTCTCGGTGGTCGAACTGATGCGGCTCTACGGTGTTCACTTCTTCTGATTTTGATTTCTCGAGATGTTTGCCCAGTATATGTATTGCATCACATTCCAAGCAAGCATTTTTTCCTATAGACACAATTATATAGAGAATCTTTATGGATTTAGTCTTTTATATGTACAAGATTGCTTTGAAGTGTGTCTGCTGTTCTATTCCTTTTTTTGTAATTTCTTGAGGGAATGTGTTGTTATGATGTGGCACTGATTTGATGGAGTGTTAGAGATAGATTTCTTTCACGTTTGACAATGGATTGTTTGATGTCAGCTAGAGGGAACCATTGAAAACCATCAGCTATGAGTATTGGATATTTGGTATCCACCGGAAGTACCTACTCATAGCCAGAGTTCGAACCAAGGACCTTCCAGTTACAAGACGGGCTCGTAAATCATTCAGCCGCCGGAATCCGATTGCTCAATGGCCAACATATGAATTCTACAATTTTGTGATTTCAGCGTGACCGCCGCTAGTCAGTGTTATTGGCAGCGACGAGTTGTTTTCACTTCTAACCTGGTGGACCCCACTGGTCACGATTTCTGACTAGAACTCCAGTCAACTTCGTGGTATAACCAATGACTATCGAGCATCAGAGTTAGTTTGTAGGGAGGTGATTTTATTTTCAGGTTTTGATCACGGATTAATATCAATCATTTAGAGACCGGTTGAAAGCTATCAGGAAGTAATTGGATAGCTGTTTCGTCCGCTCTTGTTTGAAACTCATTGGTGGTACACGCTCACTGTTAGTGATTCGTTGATTGTTGTCTAACTTGACGACTACAATGCAGCTTCAGATTCGACACTCATAGCCAACTGATCACTTGAAAATATCTTCCACATTAAGGTAGACAATGCTGCATGCCAAGTAATCCACAACGGGAAACTTACAGAATCCTTCGAAGAAGTGAAGACGGGAGTAAGACAAGCTGGCTGCCTACTATCACCAATGTTTTTCCTGACTGCAGTAGATTGGATAATGCGACAAACAGTGAGCAATGAGGAAACAGGCATAAAATGGACTCACACAAAAACACTTGGAGGATCTGGACTTCACCAATGATGATATATGTCTGATTTCCCACAAACTGGAATATATGCAAGTGAAAAGCAACAAGTTGGAAGAAGAAGCATCCAGGGAAGATAGGACTTCAGGTGAACATAAAGAAGACATGTGGTGATGAAGATTCCTGGACAACATTAACAGCAGCAACAACAACAGACAACAATCAGCCAGCATAAATGGGAGGAACCTGAATGAAACAACCTCCTCTACCTACCTACCTACCTACCTGGGAAGCATCGTTTCATCTACAGGCGGCGGAACTGAAGAGGACATCAAAGCAGCGAGGATAGGAAAAGCAAGACAAGCTTTCATTACTCTTAAGTCTGTCTGCAACAAAAATAAGATCCGGATTTCCAACTCCAATGTAAAGTCGGTGCTTCTATACGCATCAGAGACTTGGCCAGCGCGTCATAAAGAGCATCTCAAACAAACTACAGACCTTCATTAACAGTTGTCTTCGCTCAATACCACTCAAGGTCAGATGGCCGGTCAGAAAACATCAGCAACGGGGATCTCTGGCAATGAGTGAACCAATCAAGCAAGAACCAATTGTGAAACAAATAGGCAGGAAGAAATGGAGGTAGATGGATTGGCCATACGCTGAGGAAACCATCAAGTGACATCACTAGACAAGCCATCTCTCGAGTGAAACCCGAAAAGGAAGCGTCGAGTTGGTCGTAAGTGCAAGGGTGACTTGGAGGAGGTCATGTGAAGAGGAAATGAAAGCATGTGGGGAGACTTGGAGCGGAGTGAAAAAGTTGGCAGAGAACCGAAGGCAATAGAGACGCATGGCTGAAGCCCTATGTTCCTCTAGGAATTAAAGGAAATAATAATAATATTAAGGTCTCTGACTGCAGAACTCACTGTATGTTACGGGTTCGGATCTCCTCAGAAGGGACCTGAGTTCCTTCAAGGCAGTTGCAGATACACCTTGATGACTGGTGAGTGCCAATTAGCACGACACCTAGGTCCAAACAGGGCTTCCTGTGACCGATATCCTTCTTCCATCTAAATGTATAAATCGTTTACACATCAACGGGAATTTAAATCACAAGTGATAATCAATATCTGATTGGTTGCATGACCTTGAAGATCCTGCAAAATAAATCAATCAAAAACTGTCCAATCAGGTTATTTTTTTATTTAGGCGCATGCATCAAACATGATTTCACGTCTACTAAAGATAGTTAGTCTGTCCTAACAAATATAAATAAATATGTGTTGTCTGAAATTCCCTATTTTCATCTAGGTGGTGTGACTGTGTGTGTGTGTGTGTGTGTGTATGCACACATGATAATCTGCTAATATACTAATACGCTATACAATATCGCCTGTTTCTTTTTACATTTATTAACATAGTTTTCATTTTTTTAGAAATATACTCCGTACTACTTAATTATAATAGTTAATAAAACTAAAGCATTATAAAGTGTATTTAATTGGTGGATGGTGACTAGCAGTGGAATCCAGGATGCGCATTTCGTCCTATTTGGGACTCGTCACTGGATGTACCTGCATTTCTCAGTGAATAATGACGTTCCCACCGAGGCTCGAACCCAGTACCCATAGTTTCAAACGCCAAAGCGTTATCCACTAAAATGCGCATCCTGGATTCCACTGCTAGTCACCATCCACCAATTAAATACTAACTAAATGCCCAGACATCGTCGAAGCATCTGCACAAGAAGCCAACATGTCAACCTGAGACCGAGTATTTCGGTCCAATCAATCGACGGGAAAATCAAAAATTCAATTCATTATAAAGTGTCTTGATAAAATTGTAGAATATCATTATGAGAAATAGTTTTCAGAAGAATGGATAGTGAACAAAGAGTACTTCTTTCGATAGCTTCATCATCAGGCTCTACAATTATACATGCATTATAGTGTATGAATGAATTAGTGTTATGAACAACATTATTGTTGTTTAAGTAACATCGAATCAATAATATTGATAGATTACAGCTCAATAACATCAATATAAAATAAGCTGAATGTCAGAAAAATCAGGAAAGATAACATTACGATTTCATGAATTTCTAGTCTCCAGAGCAGTAGTAGTGGCTCTCTGGACATACTTCTTTTGAACACAGGGCACTGGTTGTTTGATTCGAACTGCAAAAGCCTCTGATTTTTTGAGGATGCGGTGCTTCGATGTTTTTAGCAATTTATTAGGTACCCGGTAGGTTATAGAGAAGGATTCTTCCACGCTGGCTGGCTTTGTTGCTGGCAGGTTTGCAGCAGACGGTCCAATATCGAACTGTTGATGGTTTTTACTACACCTTTACTTAGCCATAGTGGGAGGTATTCTCGAGCACGAAGAATGAAGTTCCTAGAGC